CCCCAAAACCCCAAAACCCCAAAACCCCAAAACCCCAATTTTTATTTAACTTTTTGAAAGATCTATTCAATATGGATATCAAACGCCCCTCCATACTTTTCATGAGTCCTGAGATAATCAACGTATTGCTTGATTGACTTGAAAGACTCTAGATTAAGTCCGACAAGGTTAGGATGTCCATCCTCTAGGGCTGAATAAATACTGACAAGATATGGAGAAATTCTTGCATCAGCAACAGTTAGATTTTCTTTATCAAAGAAATACATATTTCCTTTAGAATTCTTGGAAAGAGCATCTTCAATTTTGTTCAATTTTCTAATAAGAGATTTTTGAGAAGTCTTAACCTGTTCTTCAGTAACAGGAATTGGATCGAGACTATATATAATCCTTTAAACATACCCAAGTCCCATAAAATCTGGATCAGAGATTCCGTTTAGAGCAGCTACTATTGAAGGAAGACCTGTTTCGAATCTGGATATTTTACTTTTTAAAACATATCTACTCATTTGGTTGTCCTCAGGGCCCATATCTTTTCCTTGTGCAATAGCATATTCAATGACAACTTCAGAGTTATGTAGAAGTGTTCCATCTGTCTCTTCTAATATAGGGAGGGGAGAGATAAACTCCTAAATGAATTATTTTGATGCTTTACAGGAGTCACTGGATACCAACTAGCTCTTTTATCAGCACTAACTTTGACACTCTGAAACTCAACATCATAGTGATAAAGCATCAGTCTAGATCTGATTCAACTAGAACTGAAAGAATGGCTGTAGACTCTACAGGTTTTCACTCAAAATTTACCTTAGATAGTTACGATTGGTCTCAGGCTTTTCGTCAACTCCTTCTTCTATTTCAAAAGTTTTCAATGACTGGGTTAGCTCTGAACTCCAACGGCTTGCTAAATAAATATAATAAGAAATTTCCAAAATTTTTAAAGATATGTTATACTGACTTACTTGTTGTCCCAGTTGAGAAAGCTCTTGCGAGTCTTTTAGGCTTTAAGCAAATTTTTAACAGCATTTTCAATTTATACAAAATTGATTGGGGTTTTGGGGTTTTGGGGTTTTGGGGTTTTGGGG